ATGTTATTATTAATTTATATAATTTTTATGTTATTATTAATCTACCATTGTTATATGATTTAATTTATTGACCATGACATGAACAATTATAACTCACTTGACATTCTGTACGTTTTAATCCTTTGACATTTCTATAATTTTGTAATATTATTGTAAGCATATAATGTAATTAGAAAAATTTATTGCCTAAAGACTGTATAAATATTTGCACATCTATTTAGGTAATGATACAGTGCACTATATATCCATATGTAACATCTTATATACCTGTATTATGCAAATAAATGATTTGATTGATTGATTGATTGATTGATTATTACGAGATATGAAGTAACAATCAAAACTGCAGCGCAGTTGTACACTTCACATTCTCTGCTCTTTAACATATTTTTATTCTATCTTTTTGCACTTCTTTTTCGTAGTTTACGTTTCAGATTAAATTAAAACTTTCCCAAATAATTATGCAAAAACATGAAAATTTTACTGCCATTTCCATACTGTTTACCGTCTGAAAACTGTTTTTCAGTAGATTCAAATTTTTTTCGTCGTTTTATTCTCTGCAGTTTTTGTTTTCAGCGGTATTACATTTTTATACAAATAGTTTAATGCTTTCGTTTTATTTAGATTTCTTGTCTAATCGCCCATCTATACAAATATTAGTGAAACCTTATTTACAATCGAAAGATGCCATAAATCACAAAATATCACGATTTTGTTTTCAAAAAAGATATTTCTGACGCAATTTTAAAACTAAACTATAGATAATCCTTTGAGTTCTTAAAACTTGAATAAATCAAATAACAGAGGATGGAATCTCATAAAATGTATAAATAATACAGCACTGGACAAAGTGTGCTAACAACTAAATCTATAAATTAAAAAAAAGGATATACCATATGAAATCAGTACATAAGTACTGACGGACTACGGACTGTACGGAGGTATGAAATCAGAAATCAATATATATATGGATGGTAGTAGGTATATAGCAGATGTGACATTTTTAGTATCTGACAACATATAAATACAAAACAAAACACATTAAAACATGAGATACATCGCAAAATACACATACACAAATAACTCGGCAGCTATCTATACGGAAAAATAAACAAATAAAATGTCAATGTTGTTTTTTTTGTATAAGGAAAGAAAGATAATAACAAACAATAATATTAGCTAATTATATTTGACTCAGTGACCTACATCTTACGGAGATTCACCAATGACTCGCATGTCATTGGAGGACAAAAGTAAATGATTAATGATATTTGTTTCAATAACATTCAACACCGTTCGTTGGCCTGCGCTGGTATGAAAACAATGACAATTTTATTAAATGTTGACCTATTCCTACAAATTAATATTTCCTTTATTTCTTTATTTACAAGAATGAAATAAAAAAGATGCATTGTTTAGCAAATTGTGCAATTCAAAAATATTGAAAGTAATATCTAACATACTGTTAAACTTATTTGTTTAAAGAATCCACATTGTTCTCCTCGCCTGTCTATCTACCAAGTAAGTTTATTTAATTTATTTTAATCATTACTTGATTATATACTATGTGTGTCGGTTTATTCACGTAACTGTTTGACGAGGAACTTGACTAGGTTCAGCAGCAGCCCGACAGTCTCAGTGTCGTATGACACAGAATGCTGCTCATGAATATGAGCCTCTAGATTGGCTAGATACTAGTCGAATTCCTTGTCAAACATTTACATGCGTAAGTCGAAAAATATGTTCTTTTCAATGTTTGTTGTGTCGCAAATGTCTTAATCAAAATTATCAGAGCGCTCTTTTTAAGCAAAAGTAATTTCACACTTCATCAATCAGTACCTACGAGCAGAATTCAAACAAAAACTTAAGAACGTTGGTCAGAGTAACTCACCGTATCCAAAATACATTTCCTCCCAGACAGTGGCAGTGCTTTAACGTAGCTGGAGGAGTCGATGGCCCACACGTAGATGTTGACGTCGAAAAACGACTGTGGCGTCAAACTAAAGAAACTGTCGACCAGAGTCACTTTTTCTTTATAATCGTACACGTACAGCTGGAACAAAGGATCAAAATAAATATACGTACTTATAAATTATCAATACATAAATTATCAAAACAGGCTCACCCCTATTACATGGGACTCATAACATAAATTTGTCAAAAGTGGGTGTTACATTGTACAGTGGCATTAAGCGCAATAATGTGCACCTCTGTCTACATCTTCAGGGATAAAAAGCGTGCAGTTATGTTAAAAATACTCAATTAATCATATTACACCAACAGCCTATAAGTGGCCACTACTAACTAAAGACCTCTTTCTTACACGGAGAAGATTTGAGCATCAATCACACACGCTTACTCAATGCGGGTCAATGATTTCAAACTTATAATTAAAATTATAAACCCTGGTTTTCTCACAATATTTTTCTCCAACGTTTGTCTGTCTAAATAATCTTAGAAAGTACGTATAATTTGGAAAAGGTCAAATTTGTTCTTGACACTAGTCTCAAATCTCCGGAACATCACGACATATCATTTATCTGCTATTAAGTAGTTCTGGTTGCTTAAAATGTCAATCGTTATTACTTTATAATAGGTTTTGATTCTATTTTGGTGGTTTTCATTAATGTAAGGTACTCTATGTCAAAACTAATCTACATTACGATTACACCTACTCGATTGTAATATCAGTCTGCCTTCACTATCTTGGTTGCATTAAGCTTTTAAGTACAGTCTCAGGTGGTTTGCGGCAGGCAAAGTATTATAGGTATTGAATTTCTAAATTGTCTGCAATTATAAAGAACGTAAATTTTTGCTTCATATAGAGGTTCACTATAATTGTCTGTTTTTGATTTACAAATAGCTTCTTGTATTCATAAAAAAATTGCTTTATGCATTTGCCTATTCAATTTAATATGTTGATTGTAAAAAGAGTTTTTGAACAACTCAAAAACGATCAAAGATTGTTTATTTTCAATACCAAATAGACAAAAAGGCTTTTAATTTTACTTTGTTTAGTATACACCAGCATTTTTATTTCGGTGCCATTTTCCTGCTGCCAGTGAATTCGTTTAAATTGTCAGTCTGATGCCGTTTGTACTTTCTTTCTCGTCATCTAAAGCCCCGCTTTTGTGCAAGCAATTTTGCTTACCCCTATACGAGAATACGCCATGCCATTTTCCTTTATGTCGCGAGAATATTTTTGTCACAGAAAATATTCTAAAATGTGTAATTGGGTAGCAATTGTCCCGATATATATATCTTTTGTTTGTCGACTATGTGTACTCTGTTGAAAGGGGCAGAAGTGAGTGGGTTCAGGGTAAATACAAATGTTTATTGGTGCGAAGCAAAGTGTCAGACCAATCCATGAATATTTGATTAATGGCCAGTTGATGTTTCGGTATTAATATTAAACGGGACCGAAGTATTAGGGAAGAAAAGAAAAAATGTTAGTTTATTTTGTTGACAACTTTAAAAATTGGACATATTAAGTAAAAATGGTTACCAAGTGATAAAATACTTTATTGGGCTTGAAGTACGATCTGTAATGATTTCACGTACACGCGTAAAGTTATCGAACTGAGTTGTCATACAAATGTGGGAGATAATATGGGCATTTAAAAACTTAAATATATCAGTAAAAGTCGATGCAAAAACTCTATCGGTATTTGGCATTGTAGACAAAGATTACGGGATTAAGTGGATATCTCTGTTCGCTTATTTTTCAACATTTTCATCAAGATGAAAGGTATTAACTTGTAACTTTGTAAGATGTTTAATCGAGTTTTGAATCTTACTGTATGTTCAACGCTAACAATTGAAGAAAAACTATTTAGTAATTAGCCACACTTATAGAAAAACAGAACTCTACTTACCACAGAGTGTCCATTAGAACTTTGTCCGTTCACAATAACGTCCAGGGCCTCAGTGGAATCCAGACCAGAAATAAAATTAGTCTGGTTGTCTGCATGCTCCCTAAAACACGAGTTACTTCAAAAACCCACGTCTCCTCGATTAGTCAACTTGTCTTTTAGATAACTATTCTATTTTAGTCTCAAGATTTATTCAAGTGCTTTTATAAATGTTCTATTTATTTTTATAAACTTTGATTCATTAATCTGAATTCATTCTTCATATTTGATAGCAATAAGTTTGCCTCTGTTGATTTATGGTGAACTTGAAATGTTATTCCTGTCAATATTTGCTATGTGTACGTTTGTTACTCCTTTGCATCGAAATAGCTGAAGGGATTAGGATAAAATTTGGAATAGGAGTAGTTTAGGATCCAGAATAGCACTTAGGCTTTATATCAAGCTAGTATTTAATATTGACTGCCTCGTTGACCGAGTGGTCGCAAGTGCGACTGGAATTGTGCCCGATATATGGCAATAGGCTCACCCTCTATTACATGGGACTCATAACATAAATAGTGAAAAGTGGGTGTGATATTATACAGAGGCATTTGGTGCCGTAATGTGCACCTCTGCCTACCCATTTGGGGATAAAAGGCGTGATGTTATGTTCTGTTATGTTATTTTATGTGTACCATGTTTAAATACTGTCTAGTTAGGTACCTATCTGTTATATTTTTATGTATTTTTTGTAACTGTGATTAGAGTTTTTCGACTGTTTTTATTATGGTAATTACAAATATCCAACCAATGAACACACTAAAAGGGTTTACGTGTCAGTTTCAGGTTAGACTATTACTTAGACTATGACTGTCAAAAAATAAGCTAATGACATCATATCTATCCTTATTTCTGTAATGGACCTAAAACTATAGTTGATTTTATGAAATCCTATAAAGGTAACTAGCAACTGCCTACGTAAAAAACAGTCAGCTAATATACTGAAACTTGGTCTTAAGTATGACAAACACTATTTCGGAAACCGTATCGAAATCGCTTCAGTCGATCGCGAGATTATCACCGACAAACATAAACACATACAAACAGGTTATATTGAAAACCTCCTTTATTTGAACTCGGTAAACAATAACTTACTTGAAATAAGGTATGTCGAATTGGCAGCAATGCCCCACTATTGTTAGCAGCGGATGGAACATTTCGGAACAGTTGAATGGCTTGGATCTCCAATTGCACTCCACAGTAATATTACTGCAAGGCCTCTTAAACTGCAATGTGAAAATTAATATTAGGTAACAAAATAATTGTATTAACTGCATTTCAATTCATTTAGTTTTAAGTGTCGGAGAGCCATGACCGGAGTACCCCATGGCCTCATGAAAACCGATGTGAAACAACGGGCTACCACGGGAACAGGTTACCGGAGGCCCAAATCCCCGAAACCTCCACAATCCTCAAATTCCCAATTCCCAAAAGGCCGGTAACGCACTTGTAACGCCTTGGTGTTTTGAATGTCCATGAGCGGCTACGATTGCTTACCTACAGGTGATCTGCCGGCTCGTTTACCGGCTTATACTATAAAAAAAGAGGTCGTCACACATTCTATATGTTCCCACTGTTGACTAAAGGGATCTCCTCACAAGGAGAAGGTGTGAGCATTAATCACCACACTTGCTGAATTTGGGTTTACTTTTTAATTGTCATGCGATGGAACATATCTCCCCGCAAATAAACATTCCTACTTGCCTATAATATGCACATGCATTTGTTTAATTTGTGGTAGAATTTTAAACATAAATAATTTTAGCAAAAATGTTGACCAGTCACGTGTCAAATCTTTCAAGGAATTGATTAAATATTCTTGACGATTTTTAACAGCAATAAATTAGTTTTCTGAGGACTAAAGCTTTTTATCTTTTATTCATGATTATGGAAATTAAATACTTGGAATTGTTCGATCGTGCGTCCATTCTCATCGACTCCATTCTATTGCTTCTTACATTTGATTAAATTCGTTTGGCAATCCGTTTCTTGTTTTCATCAACGATATTAACTATTTTCATGAAAATAAAAAATCAAATGTTCATGCAGAACATAACGTAAGTCAGACTACAATTCATTAAAAGATTTTAAACCATATGCCAATCGTTATAAAGTTGCATGTTAATAATGTTTAATGGCTTGTTCGCGTAATTGTTTGACGAAGTTATTCAACTAGTTTCAAGCCACGCTAGAAGCTCATATTTACGAGCAGGATTGTGCATTGATACAGAAGGCGACAGCCAACTTTGTACAAGTATGTACACGCAACTAGAATCTCTGCCGACCTCACGAGGATTAAAAGACATGAGGTTATATTACGTAGTTTAGAAATTATTATAGTGATATTAATCTTACATCTTATTGATATACGTAAATATTAATCTTATATGACTTGGATCTTTGAGGAAAACCAATATTTTAATTAAACTATTCATATTATTTCACTAATCAACAGAGAAGTGGCTTGAGGGTTTGCCTTACCGTTACACAGCCTTGAGGTCAAATACGAATCGCATAATACTTATAATGCAATACAATTATATGAAAACATAAATATATAATCATCCCACAAAGTTAGTCGACAACACTTAGGTACTTTCTCAAGAATTTTTGCAATTCATGAAATTTCGTCCGTCGAGGAAAGAGAAAAGGAAAGTAATGACCGGTCGGTAAAGGTCACCACGCGTGACGTCAATAAAAGTTTAGAGGCGTGTTATGTCTGTACAATATAGGTACTAATGCGCCTGCCATACACTCGACGAGTGGTATGAGAAGTAACGAGGAAAGGAGGCATATACATAGTGTGGCAAAATTACTCGACATGCCCACTGCTGTTTATTTTGATGAATTTTGCATGCGAGTCAAAGGATCGGCAATACGAGGAGGCAACGAGAACCAGCCATAGGAGCGTCGCGATTAATTGCGCGATCGGTGTAATGTGTAGGTGGAGAGGGCAACATCGCTTCAAATCACGGCAATGAGAGGTGTATAGCGATGGGCAGCGCAAGGAGCTTCTCTGATAGGCGCATTACATTCACAATTTAAAAAACTGTTTTTTTTATTATGGATTATGGATTAGGAGGCAAACGAGCAGACGCACGTTTGTTGATAAGCCATGGTAAGCGATCAGGTGATCGCAACACCAGGCGAGGCACAGGTGCGTTGCGGACTTTTAAAAAAGGAATACGTTATTGTCTTGAAGTTTTGAATTTTAAGGCATAATTAATTTATTAATGGCTTTAAAGAACTTAAGAATTTTTATTTGGAACAGGAGGCGGCTTTAAATAACTAAGTAGTTTTTTATGGAACAGGAGGCAAAGCTGTCGGATCACTGGATAGTAAGCGATCAGCACCACCCATATTCACCCGAAACACCAGAGGAGTCAAACAAATTAGGTCAAGCTTAGTCTTGATTTGAGCGAAAATTGAAAGTCAAATGAATAAACAATTGAAACTTATTTTAGACACATGTTGATAGACAATGCACATATTTATGATTATAAAACTATATAACTTTGGAATTACAAGTGGTAGTAATATATTATATGAATAAGATTAATTTAAATGGAACGTATAATATAACTAGCTACCTCGTTGCTTGATTGCTCGCAAACGGAACTGCCAATTTTAACCAGTACCGAAGCTGAATAGTGAACAGTGTACCTCAATTAGTTTAGGTTAGGTTTATAATAATCCTAACAATAAATGTATAACAACATAATTAAAAGCAAAAAAAGGTTAAAGGGAGGAAACTTTTCCTATCCATTGAAAAACTTTCCGGGAATTTAACAAAACACATCATCACATATATTATATAGTTAAAATAGCACTTGCAACTTGTATATTTTAATAACAAAATTCAAAATTCATACAAAAGTGGTCGCTAAGCATATGACACAATGAGTATAATGAAGTAAGTAAAGAAAGGACACCGGTGTCTTCATGGGATTTAGAAGTATCTCATTACCATATCCAGGAGAATTTTCAAAGAATATCCGAGATCTTCAAGCAGAGAATGCATTTTCCTGACGTACGGTTCTGGCACGTAGTTCTTATGTTTCACCTCATTAAAGCTCTTGTAGAAGTCGTCAATTTCAGTATTATTATAGCCGCGAAGGATTCTAAAATGTAAGTTGTCTTTGTTAAAGTCTATACTCAACTGAACATGAACGTACAGATTGATGATTTCAAGTAAGTTGATTTATTTATGGTGTTGCATCTCTGATAATAACGACATGGCAAATTAAATAAACTGCATGATTGGACGAGTAATTGCAATTACGTCTATCTCGTCTATCTATATAGTAAAAAACATATGGGTTTATTCAAAATTCTTACTAACTACCATCAATGTGCTGGAATGCCATTCAAATTTTAACCTATTCTACGTCTGAAAAGTACGAGAAAATATTATTTGCCAGTATTAGTTTTACAATTTCCAACTTCTATTTGAAAACATCGTTAATATTCAAAAACATAGAATACATTTTAGATGCCAAAGTTTATTGGACCAAAACAAAATGTTTCAGGCCTTCAGCTCAAATTTTATAAAACCATCTTCACCTGCACTCTAATAAAGTTCCATTAAAGAATATTACATTTTAATAAAAAGGTATTTGGCTTTTAAAGAAACCTATTTGGTTTGAGTCGTAAATCAGCCGACTTGAATGCCAGGGTAGGGACCATGCTCTGACGAACATGGTACATTCGTTGAGACACTGAACTTTGCTCATACATTACGTTGAGCAAAATCACTTGATTAAGAGTGACTGTAATAAATTGGTTTAATTTAATCTTCTGTTTGAAGTGTTGACAAGATTTTGAGACAGGTGAAAGGGAAATTTTATGGGAGTATCTTTGATTTGCTTTAATGTTGTAATGTTTTATGGTGTAAAAAATTCATGTGTGAAGAAAAAGGATTTTACCATGAGCTTGTTTGTTTTGTTTTAACATCTTTGAAACTAATGATATCTTGAAATTAAATAAAGATACAACTCAAATGTACTTAAGGAATTAACATTTGTTTTCACAATAATTGCGATAATGATGACAAAAGAAAGGTATAATTTGAAGCTTGTATTTAAAATCAAATATTAAAATTGTCATGGGTCACTTACAGTAAGTCGGTAATTTCTTTTGTCTTCGGTAGAAACACATTATCTGTGTCGCAGATAGTCACGGCAGGGAAGGGAATATTTACCATGGAATAGTGCGTAGTTTCCACCTGTTAACAAATTGAGTTTAAATATAAAATTATATATTTTCTCATCTCATTTAAAAATATAATTTATTAGGAAGAAACCGTGTATAAGTAGGTTCTGTTCCATAACATAAAGACATTTATACCAATAATCAATAGCACAGTCTCGTTGGCCGAGTGATGCGTCTGCCGGTCGAGCAATGTATTAATGTTTTTTTTAAAAAAAAAACAATCTCAGTGCCTGGAATTGTTCCTGGTATATGGCAATAGGCTCACCCCCTAATACATGGGACACATAACATAAATAGTGAAAAATGGGTGTTACATTGTACAGCGGCATTAAGTGCCATAATGTGCACCTCTGCCTACCCCTTCGGGGATAAAAGGCGTGTTATGTATATTATATTTACTCATTTATATTTGGTATTCAGTACATCATGCCTAATGGCTAATCAATTATTTTTCTTTCTTTTACATTTCAAGTCCCTGTTTTTTTGTGTGTTATTGAAAACAAATTATTTTTAGGACCAAGGAATATTTGCTGGGTTCTGGTTTTGATCACGATCTGCAGTAGGCGTATCGACAATGTACCTTTTAAGCAATTCTCAAAAGTATCGTACTACATGAGTAGGTGACTTCCCACGCCTGTCTATTTTTTATAGAATTGCCTAAGAGTAACGTTTTCTGATATTCATGATGACTGGATACTTCTATTATTGGACAAAGTGTAGGTTTTGGGTATTTACAGTGAGATAAGGTTTTAGAAATGCCATGTTGAGCACGTGACTAACAGACTTGATTTGCCAAACATTATGGTATTTTGGGTTTTTATTTGATTAGAGTTTTCTAAGTATAATTTGTGTATGGCTCAGAGATAGAGTTCGGTGAGTATAAAACTCAGATAGTGAAAGCATTTATTTTTATTAAACCATAATTTGGTACTTTTGAAAAGTCAACAAATACAAAATTTTTGTTACAAAGTAGGTATAACTTGAATGGAAATCTGGATCAATTGCAATTTGTCAACCTAGTTTATTATTCGGTGAATATTATTATATACCAAAGACACTTTCCTGAATTCGGATTCAAGAAAGTAGCTCCTAGCTAAAGTAAAGTATTTATATTGTAAGTTTCGTGAGACAAATTAAATTAATTATTATGTTTTTCGGCTTACTCAGCTAATTATTTGACGAGGAACTCGAATAGATTCAGGCCATGCTTGAGGCTCATATTCAGTAGCAGCGCGACAGTCGCCACGTCGCGAGTCGCGGAATGCTGTTCAAAATTGAACTTCAACTAACTCATAATTCAACTAACTCATAATGAATATAGTAAATTGTAAAGGTTCTAACAGAAATGAACAGCCGCGTTAGTGAAACTGTGGAACTGGGGCCTCGGGTGTGATTCTCAGAACAGGCAAAGAATTTTACTTTTTACAACAAATCTTGCATAAAAAATTGTTTTAATGTCGTGGGCATTTTTTACCAGCCAAACCATTTATTATTATTCGGTTATTTCGGCTCTGGAGAAATACAATTAAAGTACAAAGTATAAAATAGTGCCTGGTATATAATATACTAAATGGTAGTGGTAATGGTAAATAGTAGATGTTACTATAACGTGTAACTTCAGTTTCTGCCTAAGCGCTCTAATATACAGAAAGTGAACGGAACGCTTCGAAAAATCGAAGACAGTACAGTGACAAATGTTTCTTTTATTAACTGACTTTTCGAAAATGGAGGAGGTTCTCAATTCGACTGTATGTTTTTTTTTTCTTTTAATTTTAATCAAGGCTGACGTTGCAAGAATAACACGAAAACAATAACGATTAAAAACTATAATATACATTTTTTGAAAGCGTTCCGTTAATAATTATTCTGAATGAAGTTTAATATTTAGTTAGCTATAGAATTGTTTCTATTTTTCCTACTGCTGTCCACGCCATTTACCACGTGTTTCCAAGATCCGTTCTTGTTTACCCCGGTCACGTTTCAGTTGTACATCACCTTTTTTATAAATCCTGTCAATAGGTTTTCCTTATTGAAAAAGAAGTAAAATATTTTTTACCCACTCTAACGTCCGGGCCGCGCGACCGTTTATCTCTCTAACGTCCAGCTGCGCGCGGCGTCCGAACCGCGCGCGACTCGCAAGTTCGTCGTAACAAAAAACCTATATAGCTACTGAACCGTAATGGCTAGAATAAAGAAAAAAATACCAAAAAAAAGATTGAAGAATACTGATCAATCTTAACGATTTTTTTAAATCGTAAGTTATAATCTTTGATACAAAAAACCGGGTTAAACATGTAATTCAGAAAAAAAATACACAATTATTTCTACCTTTTTAGAATATAAGGCACAACTATTGCATATTTTATCAATAAAATATTTTTACAACAAACTAGACTTATTACCCTTTCTTCTGATGTATATACGATTACATTCGGTTAACTCTAAGTATTTTAATTAAATCAAAACAAAACACTACTCCTCGTAATTTTACCGCGATGTCCCGAGCGCCCTTGACTCGTCCGAGAAGGCGAAATAATAGCAATATGGCCGCCCGTCTAAGGTTTCCCACACACGATGTAATTTTAATAAAATATTTTAAATAATTTTATGAATTAGTTTTATGCAATAATTGTATTTTTGAAGTTGTTTATTTGTTCTAGTTGGTTATTTAAATAAAAAGCAAATAAAAAAATCAATATATAATATAATAATTTATTCTTTCCACACATTTATATATGGTAAGCCATAAAACAATTTTCAATGCAGAGATTGACGTCGCATTGTAGACACTTCCATATGGTCACCGCGACCCCCACGTCCCCTGTTTCCCCCACGTCCCCTGTTTCCCCCACGTCCCCTAGTTCCCCCATTTCCCTCAACATAAAAGCTTTCATTTGGTGATCTGCATGAATAATTTAAAACATTAGTATTGTTAAAAGAATAAAATAAAATTTGGCGAAGCATTAAAATATATGCGACCATGCAACACGTGCAAGGGCAACAGTAAAAAAGAAAGGTAGTCAAATCCACAAGTGCATTTTTTTACATTTAGCGGAAATTAATCAACACGAACAAACATGTAATTAATGTTTCAAAACAAAAAAAAACCATTAGAACATTATACATATCCAACGGAAACCAAGCGAAAAATAAATGATGAATATTAGTACAAAACCCAAAAGTGCATTTTATATTAAATATTAGTATCATCTCAAGCAAAATATTATACCACCACTAGCAAAACAAAAATAATGCAAACATATTTTGCCGTGTATAGCGAACCTTATTTATCACGTTTCATGTAACGTCCGTGGATACCAAACAGTCCACATCAAAAAACCTGAGGAACACATTGACATTATTATGGAATCTTCAGTGAATTTAGTATATTTCTCTTTGAAAAATGTATTATTTTGCTTATTACGAAATGTATTTCGATATTTTATATACTATTGTAATGCAAAGTATGTAAAATATGTATAAACAAAACTAAAAGTAGCCGACACCATACGACCGGCCATTTTTTTCGAAACAACAATCGTTTGAAGTTAAAAGTAGACTAGATTTATCAGCTAAAACTGTGATATTTATACATCATCGTAAAGCACAAATCTTCTAGTTTATTTTGATGTATAACACTTGCAAGATAAATAAAACAAAACTGTAGTACTTACGACATAATTGTTGGCACTCACAAAAACACTTCACAACACGCGCGTCAAACGAGTCAACTGAACTTAAAAAATTATATTTTGTTTGTCAAAGCTTATTACACTGCCATCTCTATTTTTTTCGTCGAACTATTTATTCAACTGTATAGATAATCTGTCAAAACTCACCAAGCAAGACCGTATTTTAAACTAGAGGGCATTAAACACAACTCGTCGCTTTGGATACTATAGTATCCATGGGCGTATGACGCTACTTTTTTCTTGGATACCGTACTATCCACGGACGTCAGAGTGGTTACGTAAACTACGAATTTCGTAGATTAATAGAAAATTTCATGCATTTAACATCACATTATCAGCTACGTTCCTTCTTTCCACAAGGGTCACGTAGCGATACACATCTGTACTGTATGCCTATTCTACCTGTCCCATGTTATTTCCGAAAATATTCTGGTTCTCATTTTCTAGCATAAGCCGGTAAACGAGCAGACGGATCACCTGATGGTAAGCAATCGGCGCCGCCCATGGACACCCGAAACATCAAAGCATACAAGTGCGTTACCGGTCTTATGGGAATTGGGAATTTGAGTATTGTGCAGGATTCAGGAGACTAGGGGGGGGGGGGTAATTGTGCCTCCGGTAACCTCACTCCTATGACGAGACACAACGCAAGCGTTCTTTCACGTCAGTTTTTTGTGAGACTGTGGTATCACTCCGGTCGATCCGGCCCATTCGTGCCGAAGCATGGCTCTCCCACATTTAAAAAATAGCTACATTAACACTTTATATGATCCAGGAATCAAACACGGATTACACAGTAGTTGAGATTATGACCGGTTGAATCCATAAGTTATAGTTTGCTACATAATGATATAAACATCGCCACAATTATAACTGTTAACAGAATTAAATGTGTGGCTAAATCGTTCCTAACTATTGTGTTACTCCGCAGTAGTTACTGAAGGCCTGCCCTCCGCAATTTCCTCTTCTAAATTAACTCTCAAACTGAGTTACTCTATCTTTGTTCACTAGCTTGTTTAATTTATTGTTTGTTTTATATAAAATTTTGTACATTTTGTTTTATTTTAGTAAGATTTTGATATGGTAAGTTCTCTTCTTAAAGGAAACACTGCAGTTCGAAGAATAAAATAACTTTTATTTAACTTCACAAATTAAAGGGTATTATAATTTCGAGTGTGACCCACGAGTGCACGGGATTATGGATGGAATGCGACTGACTGTTTTGTATAGGACGGGGTTGTATGCATTTGAGGCGAGGAGTGAAGTGTCAGCACTGTGACGGGGATAAGGAGTTGTCTATTTAGTGTTATAAAAAATTCTTGCGTATTTTTTGTTTTTGTTTGACATTTTGTTTATGTTAGTCACTGTTGGGTATTTTAATTTGATTCAACATTTTTATTGGTTTTGTGATTAAAGAACCCACGTAAATACAAGAGAAAATTATAATACAGATTTGGTGTTTAAAAAAAATTAAAAGCAAAATTTCAATTAGGTACTTTTGACGCTCTGACTCGTGTTTATTACATTTAAAGAAACTGGGATAGTACAAATAATAAAATAAAGATCTGGCGCTATTTTCCAATAAAAAAATGTTATTTTGATATTTGAAACTATCAGAGCGGAACTATGACGTGACTTAAAACCACTAACAATACGTAGGTACACCAAATAACTGCCAAAATACTTCAACACGCTAGATTTTATCGCGAAAAAATTTCGTCAAATTTTTCGCAACAAATCGTAATCCTACGGCATATGTATTCAGCGTAACTCCAAACTGTATTTCACCGAGAACCCCGAGTGTAAATATAAGTATAGAAAAAAATATATGAATGACAAGTCATTCAAATGGAAATGTTACATGAAAGGTGTTGTGTAACATGTTACATATTCTTTGTTCGTTTATTATTACTTTTGTTACAAAAGAACCCTTTTTTGTTTAAGATGTATATGAGGATGACGAGAATTGGACTCAAGAGGTCCGGTTACTATTGGACATAATAATAGAGATAAATTGGCCGATAGAGATAAGATAGAATAAACCAGTTTAGGCTGGGACAAACTAGTTGATCCTGATATAAATATGCACACTCTAGGATAAACTGGTATGACCTAGTCATAATAATATGATTGTTGCGTCTATTAAAAAAACAGTGTGACTGCCTCGTTGACCGAGTGGTCGCAAGTAGAACTGCCGGGCAAACGTTTCGACTTCGATTCCGGGTCGGGCAAAGTATAACTGGGTTCTTAAAAATGATTATAAAGATGGTAATTCATTCGTAAATAGTGACTTTTTGGATGAAATGGAAAAAACTAAACTCAAAAATTATTACCAAATTCTTGCCCTGTTTTGTATTCATTGAAAATACGTTTTACTCTCAAGATAGATAGGGATCAAAATGCAAGTAACTTGATTCGATTCATGGATATAACTTGTGTCTTTATTTATATTTAAATACTCTTTTATCTATTATCAAGTCCATAAACCATGCAGTTTAATATCGTATAGAGGAATGTAGGAATTTTCTATCTAGAAATTCATTAGCCAGTCTCTATAACAAACGACTAGAAGAGCTAAGCAAGCATGTAGCGATGTTCATTAACATTGTAAAGTGGCACTTCTTGCATAATGTATTAAGACATGCTTGTGCCACGTCGCTACATCTTTTAACTTCGCGTTTTTTCATTTGATTTATAATCTCTTATAAGACTGGCAAAGTTTTTAAAAGGCTGTTTTTAATATTATATGTAGTATTCTGAGTTCATTTAATTTTATTAACACTGCCTAGTAACATCTCGTTGATATCCAATTCGTAGGTAACAAGTTTCAAGCAATATAATTCCGATTTCTTTGCAATTATACAAAAGAATTCAATAAGTAATACTTTACTCATCTCGAAAATCAAGTCCTAAACACAATATTTCTTGTACACTATTACAGGAACTGTATTTATTCAAGTCCTAAAAAACATTAATACGAAAATGGGTGCTAAGAATATGAGAAAAGAATACACTCGAAAAGGTCTAGGCTGGCAACCATTTACGATAAACATAGCAGCCATATTTGATTTTGATCTTACAATATACTTTTCAGAGATTTTTCTTTCGTAAAATTTCTAAGGTAGATGGTAAAGCCTCGTGTAAGAGGAGAGGGTTAAGATCTCAAAAGACTAGCTATCTTTTATGTAAATAATTTGGACTACTTACGATATTTTTAGATTTCTCCAGAATTGGGGTTACTTGGTAAATACTCTTATTTTCTTTTTTGTTTTGACCAAATGTTTATTATACTTTAATTCTGTGATTCAGGAATTCATTTACAATGAAAAGGCTTTTAAATCTCTAGAGAAATCTGTTTCTCTTTCTTGTATGTTTGTTATTAGTCTGTCTTTCGCAATCTGATTATGTTGTCGTCTGTCGGACATGAACAAGTGGGGTACAATGTTCAGTAACACAATACATAATAACCGTTTCCTACGCAGACATTGATATAAGATTTTACTCTATAGTCGCGCGATTGAATTCATTAGTAACTGTCATCAAAATACATATATTATGACAGGATAACCTGTCAAACCTAGTTCATAAAGTTACACTAGATTGTGTAATATTATAAATGCGAAAAGAGTGTTCCTATGTATAATATTATACACTATTTTCGTTGTTTTGTTTGTTCGTAACAAAAGTACGCTTGTTTATCTTGGTATAAATAAAACATAAATTGATAGATATTATCTGGAATGACTGCCTCGTTGGCCGAGTGGTCGCAAGTACGACTAACGGGCAATGGGTCTCGGGTTCGATTCCCGGGACGGATAAAGTATTACTGGGTTTTAAAAAATCTCAGTAGTAGGACGGAGTCTGGAAATTACTTATAACATAAATAGTGAAAAGTGGGTGTTACATTGTACAGTAGCATTAAGAGCCGTAATATGCACCTCTGCCTACCCCTTAGAGGATAAAAAGGCATGATGTTATGTTATGTTATGTTATCTGGAATGACACTTAGACACAACGCAGGTGAAGTAGCAGGTAGAAAATAATACCATTATAAGTTAAAAATATTTCTATTACATAAATTTTGGTTGGTTTACTCACCACAGTCAAAGTAGGATCGATAACAAACTTCTCCCATATCATGTGGCCGAGGAAACAGCACAGCGCCATACTGGCTGCGATGATCATAGCCCATAACAAATGAGCACTCCAACTGGACGCCTTGTAGAAGTAGTATACTCCATGGAGTGTACAATGCTTACAGAATGACTTGGTTTTCTCGACAAGTGTCGATTTTAATTCCTTATCCATTGGCATTGCGATAGTAGTTCTTTTTATTGTTATGAAATGTATTAGTTAATGTGTCTGAATAAAATCAGTGGATAATTTTATCGTAATTCAATATCGAATATTATATCATGCTCCCAAAATGAAGATGTACAATTATTTGTCCTTTTAACATTGAACAATATTTTTTCTGTGCGTAATTCTTATTCTACTAATTTCTTAAAACCTTAATAATTTAACTACATACAATAACTACACTTAGAATTCAAACTAATTCCATTTTAATACAGTCGAGATTTACGTTTCACTATTTTAATAAATAGTCTACATTGCAGAGTACTTGGGAGCTCTTTGAAAATTATTCTTTGTTAATAAAAGGGCACTTCTGTTGATAAATATTCTGAACAATAAATTAAAGAACGCGTCAATATTGAAATAACTATGATTTTAGTAATTAAAATGAATTGTAGTTGTTTAAGAACTCCAATTAATTTCGAATCAATTTGTCATTTCATTAACTAAGTATACCTATATATGTATTATGAGAAAAAGTTCACAGCAATTGATTAAAGTTATTGATGACTTTAAGTTTGGTTTTGCCTTGACTAGTTCTGTCTAGTGGGTTTTCATAGGTGATCAATCATGAATTTTTTTTCAGTTTTGGGAATAGTCCTAAACTTATTCTAGCTTTTCAATACTATAAAAAAATGTGTAGTATCTTTTTTACTACATTAACCTCTATGTGTGAAAGTCGACACACAGACTGCTCAATTGCAATTAAACAAGAGCAGTTGTAATTTGTAAATTACTTTGAAATGGATATTAAACAATAATGAGAATGCTCCTCAGTAGGTAGTACAAAATAACATAAATACAATTTATTTTCTGTATGAGTGAAGTAAAGATTAGGGAAATTATTAATGATTCAAGTTCGAATTAAAATGTAATTAGAGCTAAGACACGTTCCTCGGTTTCAAATCACAGTTTTGTTTAAGGGAAAGAGAATTATTACTTACCATATTTTGTGAGATACAAGGAGGAAGAAACGTTTAGAGGTGAGATCTGAACTTATTTAATTTATATCAATATAGTTCTTCGGTATTTTAGCTGAGCACTGGCCTCTTTGTACTGTGTTCACACATTTTTCTGGTTTTCTTTTTAATATATTTCTTGTTTTTTTTGTTGTTTAATTTCTGTAACGGTGCAGATAAACTGTTTTCTTTCTTTCTTTCTTCGTCTTCGTTTTTATAGCTAGTGACCCACCCCAGATTCACACGTTCATCAGTGTTTTCTCTATTATATTGTGTGCTATATTGTGCAATTGCTCGCTGTTGTTATACGTGTCGTTGTATTGAAATCCCATAGGTAATTATGTTCACTGTAATCTTTTAGACCAAAAGTTAAAATGTTGGACTTGGCTCCGGAACTACTTCGGCACGTACCACTGGTTGATTAAATCTAGAAAAGCATATTTTTATCGGCCGAATCACAATCACTGTCTCTTATAATACAGGTTCCCCTAGTGTAAGAGACAGGGTTTTACATTGTCTGCGCATAGCTATATGTCTTTAGATTTAAGATTTGCAATCATGTATTTATATCTATGTATGTTTGATGGTAAATAAACTATTATTATTATTAATTATGAACCTTCCTCTTGAATAAAAACCAAAACAAAAGTTCATTTAGTTTAAATTTTGTAATATATCTTTTTAATAAGAGGAATAACAAACGATTACTTTATAAAGTCTTACTAACTACACAGTTTACACAAGATACATTTTGGGCAATAATGCAACCCACAACACTATCCACAAGTTACCATTAGAATGTAATAAATACGGAAAAATAATTCATCAATCGCTAGAGGCTAACATTGTTTGTTAAATTGTCAAACACCAAGCGGTCACCGGTGACCGTAACCTATTGTTCTATAATTGTGTCTATAATGAGGGTACTCGACGAGTTAAATAAAATCTGTTGGTGTAGTAGTAGACTAAAAAGTAAATAGAATGTAAAGAATTTTTATAAAAGAGAGTTGTGAATAAATTGAATTGACCGCTTGAATTTACCTAGTTGACAGTTGAAATTTATGGAATAAAACCAAACTGACAAACATAAGCAGGAAGCGCCACCTATAACCGGAGAAGCTACAAGAAATATAGGGACAGACTGTCTTTGTTTTACACTATGTTATCAATTGACTAAAAATAAGTAGTATATCTACAAAAATAAATAAGTATCGAATAAGTTGCTTTATATCTTCTTGTCTCTTCATCTTTGCGTGTGGGTGGAACATCTACGCACTGATCGATTCGAATGAGGTCAGCAGATTGGCTAGATAATCGGCACTTCAAATTTAATACAGTCGAACTTCAAAAGATTTGAACTGATAAGCGTATTTTGTTTTAATAGCAATTTTATATTTGGATCGCTTTTATACTCGGAAGTTTTAAGCTAGTTACTTGGTAATATTGGACTTCATTTTTTCTACTAAAAATTATGAACCTTACACAATACTAATTATCATTGTTTCATTTTTTAATACATGGATTTTCTCACATTAGAATTTTCTCCTGTGTCGTGGGTGCATTTAAAAACATACAATATCATATACACATGACACCCAGACCCGGAACAAAAATCTGTGGATCACACAAAGATTTGTTCCATGCGGGAATCGAACCTGCGACATGTTGCGTGGCAGTCAGTTGCCCAGCCACCGCGCCAACCGAGCAGTCATATTCTTGCTTTATGTTGGTTAGCACAGAAAATAAAGATTTACTCAGTACATAGACAGTAGCTTAAATTATACAGTATGTATAGTATTTACCACTTACCAAGTCACCTTCTATATCCATTGATCAGTTCAGTAGCCAACTATGGGTTACTGTCACAGTACTGAATCTATCGTAATTTTTTGAGATGCATACTAAATAACTGGGCGGACTAAATATTTTTAAAAGCCGTACGAAGTACGAGTCCATTACATAAAATAGATTAAAAATATATTTTCTTCTTTAGAAATGTCAAAGAAAAAACAGAAGAAGATCGACAGTGCCTACTATGTCTCCTTGATCGAGAGGATCACAACCTTACATGGCACCAGCCACTTCACCTCGAGGACTGGAAGGTCACTGCTGATGTGGACCCTGGCAGTGGTCGGTAACGTGATGCTGACCATAGCCTTCATCATGGTCATCAAACAAAAATTCAATGAAAACCAAATTGTTACTGTTGTAAGTGATTTTATTTTTAAATTATTATGTTTTCGGCTTACTCACGTAATAATTTGACGAGGAACTCGACTAGTTTCAAGCCATACTAGAGGCTCATATTCATGAGCAGCATTAATAATTTTTTTTTTTTCATGAAAGTTACAATACAGATTTTATTTTTATTGGACTAACATTAACATTTGCAATATAAGTTTTAAAAATAATTTAAAGAATATTGTTTCTGCTGGTCTTCATGGGTCATAGAGTATTTGTTATTGTTGTTGAATGAGTTGAAGAAGTAGGTAGACCTCCATCAGAATAGCATCACAGCACTACGTTAGTATCCCTGATCTCACTATAACACTTATTCACAAGCCAATAAACTTGCTAAATCATAATATTTACAGTTGAGAGACAAACTTCAAAGGATTCAAGGTTTTGTAGATAGTCAATATAGATAGTCAATATAGATTCAAGAAACAGACTTAGATTGGTTCGTTCGACTAAAATATATAAGTAAAAAACTTAACGGATATTTTCATATCAATCTTTTAGTTCAGAATCAATTGGTAAAAGGGTACCCTGTTCAATGGTCCTGTTCAAGAAACGATATTTTCTAAACATTAATATTATATTCAATGAGAGAAGAGTAATAATAACCTATATCTACTTATCTCTCTTTGAGAAGAAAATATATATTTTAAAGGTCAACTAGTTCTTGGAAATGTATAAACCAGGGTGTATTTAAGGCTCGAGCGAATACTGTGCTTATGGGTAGGCGTGCAATATCGTTGGCCGTATCATCGTTTATCTTTCCGATTTTTTCCTTCACCGTTTGTCAGTGGTGTTTAAATAATCTTAGAAAGTACATAATATAGCTCAGATAAAGTCATGTTGGTACTTGCCATTGGTAGGTTTTGAACCTGTACTTTCATGAATGAGAAGCGTTCGTCTTAACCTCTGGGCTACCACACCACTGAACAGACGAATTAGGCAAATATTTAGGAAAATATCAATGTAGGCGTAGAACTACGCCAATTCTATCCTATAAGGGAAGATATTGCGGAATATCCAGAAGGACAATTCCTCATGGATTAATCTTAGCTCCTAGGAAATGTTAGAGCCCTTACTGTGAATTCCTGGAAGGAGTAGGCGAAGGTCAAGAATAAAAAAATAGGTTGAAAATATTATTAATTTTACGTCGGCGGGAAGGTAATGTATTTCTAAAGATTCTTTTATAATGGTAACTTAGAAGGTACTCGTTTACCGAAAAATATTAAATGGCAAAGTATTCTAATTTGTAATATTTAATTGTATTTAAAAAAAAATTACTTATTGATCTTCCAAAACTGCATAACATTGTTTAAAATAAAACACTGTATTGTATTGTATTGTACAGATCAACGCGAACTGCAAAGTGAACCAGGTTCCATTCCCGGCGGTCAGCATCTGCAACTACAACATGGTGTCTATGAGAGAATCACAGAATGTTGCCAAACTTCTGTAAGTAAACATTGTTCGTCGAAAATTGTATAGAAATCAGGGAAAAATGCAATATTTTGTTAAACTTGATCGGCTGTTTTGTATTAGTCGTATAATTGACGTAAGTATAGAGATCGTAGACAAATCAATAACTTAAAAATTCATATTGAATATATAAGATGTAAGTAGGGATAGTAACAGATACATTTAATAAGGGGTACTCAATGGATGTCTGTCTAATTCTTTTCTAATACAATACAAAAGTACCTGTACATGTTGTTAATTTTTCAATCTCAAGTCGTAAAAAAGGCTCGGCTTCATTTTACCTAGGACGAAGCAGGCGAAGCAGCAGGCAAATAACTTCTACACGGATTCACGGAACTGGCCACTCTATGTATTCAGAATAAAATAATACTTATTATAATATAATTATTAATTAGACGTTGGAATTCAAAGACAATTTACCGAGAATTGTTTGTTAAATGATTAAATTCTATGTATATAAAATTTTAGACTACAATATTAAAATATTTTCCCCTTAGCTCGCGACATTTTGTATGAATAAAATGTTCATGGAGAATATCTTGCCTACTTATCAAGTTTTTATTAAATTCCAAGTGACGATTCCTGGAAACCACATTCCATATTAAAGTTTATATGCTTTGTGGGATTCTTTTATTACGAGTATATTAAGTAGTTAGGTAATACAAATTCCAGTAAGAAAGACCGTCGGTAGGTATTTGCTAGACATTTCAATTTTCTTTGCTTCTCACTGCGTTGGTAGTCTTTTTTTTTTTTTTTTTTTATGGCATATCTATTTTATAATCGTTGTTAATGGAGTGTTTATTTTAATGAAATCAGCCGGTAAACGAGCATACGTGTCACCTGATGGTTAGCAATCAGCGCCGCCCATAGACACATGAACCACCAGATGCGTTAGAATTACAAGTGCGTTACCGGCCTTTTGGGGATTAGGAATTTGAGGATTTTTGGGGATTTGGATTTTGGGGAGATTGGGCGTAATTGAGCCTCCGGTAACACGACGAAACATAACGCAAGTGTCGTTTCCGTCCGGTTTTCTCTTTGGCCGCGGTATCACTCCGGGCGAGCCGGCCCATTCGAACAACAGTTTTATAAATGAAACAAATAAAATATTATTTGTACACGATATATTATTTAATTCCATATATGAAGCAAAATTGATTATTGCGGTGCCTCAATTATCTAAACATGTCATTATCCTTTGTTTTTTTGTTTTTCATTAACCTTTATATCTACATGTATATACATACATAAGTTATTATCTACTTTGGTTATCCAAAGTTTTTCTTTCAGTTATCAGTCAAAGTCAGATTTAGTTTGACCCAATTTTGAAATGGTTGAGTCTTGTCAAGAGTCGAGTGTAAAATCTTAAAACCGTTGGCAAGATAATTTATTATTCAACCTATATAGGTTAAGATACACGTCATGATAATAGCTAATAAAAAATGCATGTTAAGACTTGGTTGTTTTTACTTCAAATAGATTGACAGATGAGTAAGAATTTTACTGATATATAATGACTTAAATGTGAGAAATGACATAACACGCCTTTTAACCCTGAAGAGGTATGTAGAAGTGCACATTACGGCACCTAATGCCACTGTATAATTAAACAAACACTATTCACTATTTATATTATTCGTCCCATGTAGTAGGGCGTGGGTCTATTGCTGTACCGGGCACAGTTCTAGGCTTCGGGCTATCACAATTTTTTTTTAAATCCCAGTATTACTTTTTCCTACCCGGGAATGTAACCCAAGAATCCTTGTGTGGCAGTCGCACTTACGACTATTATATACGCCAACGAGGCAGTCAATGTGAGTAATGACACATTTTTAAATAATATTTGACAGATAAACTGAAAAACATTATAAAATGCAGAACTTTACTAACAAGTTTAGGATAAAAAATCATGGATTTGGTCATGAACAAGTACAATTTTTAAATCTATTGATGTAAGTCTGCATTTAATATTAAGTCGAACACAGTTTTTATTTCTATGTAGTTACAGTATCAACATACTAATACTAATTTAGGAACATCTTTGTTGTCCCAAATGAGGTTATAGTACAACAATTAAACCCACTTGTACACACAATATGCTATGTTTGGATAAGTTCAAGTTCATTAATATTATTGGAGCTATCCTTTAATTATTATATTATTATTACTTAACAATTTCATTACCAAAATCTGTGTGGTTTTGGATAATATCAAAACTTAGGTTTGTGAGGTCGGCCTCAAACTGCCTCGTTGACCTCGTGGTCGCAAGTGCGACTACCAGCCGAGCAAAAGGTCTTTGGCTCGATTCCCGGGTCGGGAAAAGTTTTTTAAACTGTCAAACACCAAGCGGTCACCGGTGACCGCAACCTATTGTTCTATTATTGTGTCTACAAAACCGGTACTCGACGAGTTAAACAATTTTCAGCAGTAGCGTGGAGTCTGGAAATGCGCTCGGTATAGGGCAATAGCCCTTATTACATGGGACTCATACCATAAATAGTGAAAAGTGGGTGTTATATTGTTCAGAAACATTAAATGCACCTCTACCTACCCCTTCGGGGATAAAAAGGCGTGATATTTTTTAGGTCGTCCGCAAAAGTGATAAACGGTATATAGAACCTACCATCCCACGAGGCACATTCTAGTTCTGACTACAAATCAAATCAAATCGTCTTTATTGTGGACTATTATATAGGTATGCATCAGAAATACAGGTCTTAAATAATAAAAAAAGTACAGCTATGTCCCGCCGTTGAGGCATACAATAATAATATACAAAACAGAATTTAAAACACAATTAGTCATAATTTTTAGTCTCGATACAATTTTAAAATACCTCAAATACATACAAATTCAATATAAAGTCATATAATAGTTAATACATTTTACTCAAATAATTGTGTCATTCATGAACTCGGTGACACTATAGTAGACCTTTTGCAATAAAAATAGTCTAAGCCTTCGTTTAATATCTTGTGCACTTAGTTCTTTCCAAGATTTCGGCAATTTATTGTATACAATAGGTGCCATACAAAATACATTTCTACGCATAAGCGCAGTCCTACAAGGTTGCAGACAAAGTTTTGTATAGTCACGTCTGTTGCGTGGTGTCACATCATCTAAACGCGGAAATAAATGAGAGTTACATTTCACAAACATTTCAATATTGAGAATGTATAGTGATGGCAAAGTAAGGATCCTGAACTGTCCAAAATACGGCTTGCAGCTATCAGTAACTTTCAGTCTAAACATTGATCTGAGGCATCTTTTTTGTGCTTTAAAGACCGTTTCCCATTCTACAGAGTTACCCCAAAAGATTATTCCGTATCTGAGAATTGATTCGGTACCTATGTCGGCTACCTATGTCTTCCCAATATGGCCGTCACAATAATTCCAATAATAGCTTTTAATTATAGGTCGAAGATTAATATTGACGTTCCGCAAATTTCATCGTCCATAAGGACAATAATTGTTATTTGGAACTTTGGATGCCTTCCGAACATTCCAATGTAATTAATATGATTCCAGTCATTTAGAGTGCAAAGTTATGCTCATAGAAATAATTATGTCTATGGTTATGCTACACTATAATTATTTTCGCCGCATCACTTTAACAGCCTATAAGAGGTCATTGCTGACCAAAGACCTCTTTTCGCATGGAAAAGATCTGAGCATTAATCACCACGCTTGCCCAAGGCGAGTTGGATCCATGGTCAAAGGAAAATAGTAGCCTATATCTTCCTACTTCCACTTCTTAGTAATGACAGCGAATGAAGAAAACAGAAAAATGTATTTCAGATACTGCTATTGTACATTTCATTTCAACCATAACGATGTGTCATTGCAAGAATTACGGAGAAGTGCTTGTCGATACTTACGCAACGACCCCCAATAGAAATCTTAGAAATGGTTTCCATTTTCTAAGATTGAAAAGCTTTGATAAAACTAAAAATATGAAATATACTACGTCAGTCGGAGGACTTGTAAATAATAAAATCACATTTCACCTGCTTTATCCCAGTTTATTATTTTCATATCAAATCTTAACCGATGTCGGGCCATATTTTCTACAGTCACAACGCTAATGGTATTCTGAATAGGGTAGATGTCTAATACGTCTAATTTTTATTTTAATGTGCGTCTGGTAGATTATTTCAAATCATCAGCCACGTATTTTTTATTTTCTTACATAATTTTCTTACACAATACTTTCGACGACATATTGATTTAAAATGTCGCGTGACGTCACTTCTATGTAAATTTAATAAGGGAAATGTGATGTATTTGCCCCCACTCCTAAACTTTGATTCGTTTTATATAAGTATTATTTTATTATACGACAAAATAAAAAAATACGTGTCCAATATTTTTCACTACTTACGAACTAATTAGATTTTTCATTTTCATACCCTGTCATCATCCCGATTACATATATTATGAAATACCTTCTACTTATATTTTTTTTTCAGGAAACAGTACAACAAAACTGAAAACGAAATTAAAGAGTTCTTTAACGCTCTTCCTACTCTGAAGAACTATGGCAAATCGAGCCGAGGTCTTGGAAGTTTCTCGGACATAATGGCAATATTGAAACACCATGTCTTTACTGTAGACACTATTATGGAAGAGGTGGGTCTAAACATTTTAATTATCTACTTTAACAAATGTTAATTCTATCTATTATTTTAATTGTAGATTGTATAATATTGTGTGTGTAATGCCTTACACATCGACTCGTGAAAGTCGGTATTTCGCAACTCTCCCGCCTTCAAGAAAGAGGAGGATCGTGTCTATATAACAATAAAGATAATATT